GTGATGGTGATTTCTGGGTCCCCAGAGGCTCCTAAACCCCTTGGGCCATCCCAAACTGAAGAATTGGGAAAGGGAAAGGGGACCAGAGCTGCCCCTTCCTCGCTGCAGCTGCCGGGCAGGTTTTTCCCCAGCTCAGCTGTTGCCACGGTCGGGTGGGAGCTCTGGTGGCCCCGATTCGAGATTGCAGCTCTGCTCTTTCCGTTGCAGATCCTACTTCCCAAGCTGTCCCCATAGTCGAGGTGGCCCTGGAAAACAACCTGGTGAGATGTCTGTGTTTTGGCCCAGCGTGCCACCGTTGCGGAGAGAGCTCCGAAATGTGTATCCCGCCTTCCTCTGCCCTTCACAGCCTTTCCCAAGGCTCTGCCTTCCCCTCCCCAGCCCGTCACTCCCATTTCTCCACCAACACTAATCCCCCACCAGGGATGTTTCTGCCCAGGCAGAGAAGAACCTGCTCTGTAGCCATCGTTTCCCACCAGCATCCCACTCCTCCGAGCCTGCTGCTTCATCCCTTGTTTTCAGCAGGGAAAACCCCGTAGTCTTCCCCGCCTGTAGCGCTGCCAAGCACCTGCGGCTGTGCCTCAGTTTCCCCCTGCTGCTAAAGATGTTTCTGCCCCCTCCCTGGCTCTGCCTGCTGCTCGGGGATGCCCCAGCCCCACAGAAGGGTCGGTGGTCTCGAGGTCCACCCTAACGCTGCTCCGTGCTCTCTCCACAGCAAGAGGAGCTAGTCCAGCCCACCTTCACCATCAGCCTTGCAGAGATGCACACAAGCCCGGTAAGAACCTCCCCAGCCACGCAGGAGCCTTTGGGGACCAGGAGATGCCACCTCGGTTCCTTACGTTCCTCTATGCTCTCCTCTTCCAGGCTCTCCCCGTCATGCCGGGGCCCAAGCGGGGCTCGCACTGCATGGAACAGGGCAGCCAAATGTCACCCAAGCTGCTGAAGCTGGAGTGTGACCCCATGCCGGTCCCCAGCCATCCCAGTCCCAACCGGGGGGATGGCAGAAGCGAGCCCAGCACCTCCGCGCGGGGCCGGAAC